ATTGCCTACAAAGTACGACATGACATGTTCCGGTGACGTTATGAGCAAGTACGAAAAAATCACATTGATGCAGTTATCAATACCAGCCACGTATCTGCAAGCATCATATTCGATATCTCGGGTTTACACCAAGTTTTACAGGCTTAGAAAAAGAGTCTCCTGATATATATCGTAGTCATTTTCAACTGCCTTTCCGGTTAGATCTGTCACATCCATTATTCACATGAATTTCTCCAGTTTTCGGAGTGACATCTGACTGTTTCGCATTATCTTTTTTGATACGTTTTTTATTACCTAATATTTATTATTTTTGACTTTGAAATGACACATATGTTTTTGAATGGGATATTTGAAATACGATGAAATTGAAGGGGAAAACATGCCCGACAACAATGCGGCGCGTCTGCGCCCCTTCTCATCGCTTTGTCTTTTTCTTATCTCTACGAATCTATCTCACTGTGCATCAACGTTGTTTAACCATAACATTGTACGACCTTCCATCACAAATCCGTTCTTTTTTCCGACATACTCTTTGCTGTACACAGATTATGGCAGATTATTCAATTGGAGAAAGGATATTAGAGGAGCGGTTATATGAAAACGAGACTAGTCGTCCTCCCGAACCAGATCATGTGATAAATCTGAAACATGGTGTTATTCGTGAAGCTTACGAATTATTTCTTACGCACTTCGGTGCGAATTCAATGGACGTGAGTCGCTAATTGTTTGATTGAAATCACGAAAGTTTTCTTTTTGTACGTTGTAGTATTTGCAATCCATGTTTTTGAACACACTAGATCCAGGAACTGAAAGCTGCAGTTGCTCCTGGACGAGTGAATCTTATCGGTGATCACATTGACTACTGTGATGGATTCGTTCTACCCATGGTAGGTGAGCATATTTATGATATGGTTATGTTAACTTCGAAATTGGTCATAGTTTTGACCATCAGTACTTATTGTTTTCGCTAAAGGTTGAAGTTTACTAGTCCACTGTTTGTGGTTCCGTATTATTTCTGATCTATTTTCGCATAATTGTACATCTTTGTTTCCATCATAATAACAATAAGTGTCAATCTCAACATTTTACGCTCAAAATAACCAAAAGCTCCGTTTCGTTCCTGTCCTTAGATGGAGTAAAAGTATTTACAGACCTTCCCCGACCATAATCTGCACTAGAGCATGCTAGCATCTTACAAGGGAGGCTCACGAAGTCGAAGTGGCCGATCACCACAAACTGCATATCATTAGTGAGAGCTTGAAGGGATGATTTCGAATCTGTTTTTCTCATCTGGAGAGCTTTTATGGGAAAGAATTTATGATCATTTATTGAGGCGAAATAATGTGTGTGTACCAATAATGAACCAATAATGTACCATCGCGACCTTAAATGAAACAGCGGCAGATGTTAGTATACTTCATGCAATGTGCTCATTCTTCCTAGTTTATTAGTACTTTCAATTGCTCCAGACAACGTCTTAAATGGAATAGTAATAGTTGAATTTATCCCAGAAACTGGTACATCTTTTTGCCTCAATAAATGATCATAACTTTCTTCCCAAAAACGCTCTGCAAATAGGAAAAGCAGAATTGAGATCAGCACTACAAGCTCTCGCTAATGCTGTGCAATTTGTGGTGGTCGGCCACTTCGACTTCGTGACCCT